CCCCCCCCCCCCCGCGCTCACCTTCAGATCTCTCATGTATCAGACCAAGTGGTCCCAGAGTTCTCCATAGCCCAGGAGACAATATTGGTAAACAGAAACTCTCGCAAGCTCCAAGGAGCTAGCTTTCGTGACAATCATGTACAATCAGATACCCTTTAGAATGTCTTACTTAGAATACTGGCTGCTCGGCAAACTCAAGTGCAAAGCTGGTCCATTCAATCCAGTCCTGCACGTTGCAACGAAATCGATGAGTCCACGCCTGCGTGAAGGCGTCGCCTTGGAGCACCACCATGGTGCTGTAGCATGGTGCCTCGGCAGACAGCAGCTTGACTTGCAACAGACGTGCCGTTCTCTGCCTCCTGCCGGATCAAAGATCCGAATGACGACAATGAAGCTCGGGCATCTGCTCCATCAGCAGCCTGAACACAAAGGGCTCTTGATCAGTGGTCTCTCCCCTGCATGCTCTCACACCGACAAGCTAGCGTAGCGTGCGAAGCGCAAAACGAAAGTTGCTGCCACAACATTCGCCCAACAGCTGCAACTGAGATGCTTTGGGCGGCCTGGAGACTTCAATGTCCTCCGTGCGCAGTCTTAATGCCTTTTTGACAAGAAAGACGGCAAATTCAGCCGCCATGATATCCCAAAGGGCTGCACCAGCAGAGGCATCAAAACCTTGGAAATGGAAGGTGGGAAGAATGTCCAACCCAACTTCATGTCTGAGTCGACTTGCCAAATTGAAAATAACAAAGCAGTAAATCTGTGTCGAAGTTGCCCGGCAGCAACAACAGGAGCTTGCCAGCAGAGGCGACACACTTTTCCCGCCAGGCCCCCACAACCGGCAGGAATGGCCGTAGAAAGTCTGCATGGTCCTTACCACTGCAAGCTAAGCAGGGTGAGCAATCACAACAAGACGCCAATCTTAAGTCGGGAGTCCTCGTCTAGTCTTGCTCTGTGCTCATCAAGCTCCCTCTCCACAAGGTTGAAGACGGCAAGGGCAATCTGCATGTGCTGCTTGGATTCCACAGTGGGATTCTAATGCAGCTAGCACCTCTCGGAAAAAGATTGCGAAAATCCTAAATCACGCCTCGCCTGTTTTGATCTTGTATGTCGATGAGAACCCAGATGCATGAAAGTCAGCGGTGTGTGGTCCACGCTGGTCTTCCTCCTGGCTTAGCACTCCATGACGCCTGCACGTACAAGAATGTGGAACCAGGCAAAGGATCTGCTGCTCCTGCTCTTACGGAGGCGATGCACAAGGCTCGACTGCTGTGAGCAGCCAGCTGCTGGAGAGCGCAGGCTTCGAAGGGAGTGTAGCATTGGATGCACAGACCTCCAGACAAGACAAACAAGCGCGGATCAGCGTGGATCGGTGGATGGCCTTGTCGTCCGCTTGGCGCTGTTACTGACAGACACGAGGCCCTTGGCTGTTCGAAGCGGTCCAACAATCTCAAAAAGCACAACACACTCTTCGTAACCCCAGACAGCCAGCAGATGCCACTTGGAAAACTTGCTACCCCTAGCCTAGCTTTCAGGGGTGTCTAGACCTGTAAATTGTAAATCTTACGATACAGTCTTTCATTCAGCATCATGGCTGTCTGAGCGGCCTGCCTGCTTAGCGTATTTGCCTTTTCAATTTGCAAAGCCCTTTCCAAGCAAACCCTGCCTTGGCATTAATGGCCACTTGTCGGTCTCCGACCATTTGCTCATTGTTGACACCATGGATCCGGTAAGAAGCCAATGCCTTGGGATCTGAGAGTGTGAACGGCTACAGTTCTGGTCCTTCGTCTTGTACGCAAGATGGCTCAGGATCTGACAAGAACCAGGCTAACCAGCGCAGTCATGGATATGGATGTGCTAGTGTTTTTAACAGCACACAAAAGATGAGCCCAAACGGCTGCGTCAGAGCACCCGGTCAATCCAAATGCAAGCCTCCTGAAACACTATCATTGATCATGTAGTTTGGGAAGGCCATCTGAGATGTCCAGCTCATTGTGAGACTGTGAAACATGCAACTCTATGATTCTGGGGAGCCTCCAGACTCTCCCTTCTACTTGGCCGCATCTGTCGGTACACTTGAATTAGCCGTTCCGACTGAGCTGCCAAATTCCGGCAAGATTGGTCTGCGTGATATGTGCCAAACCCTGGCATGCTGTACAGTTTGGGGCTTGCTGATGAACCACATATTATTAATGTTCGAATCGCATCGTCACCGCTTCCAGCAAGACCGGCACCAACATTAATTCACCATCAGCATCCTTCTGGCACTGCAGTCTTGTCACCTTCCTGGAGATAGTTACATCTTGCTGAGTCGTGCCATGCCATGCCAATTGCAGCCAACACTTAGGCCAGGGCCATTTCACCACCACCCTCTGTAACCATGCTCCAGATGTTGGGCAGACCATGCTTTCGCAGGGCGTAGTCCCTGGCAGGTCTTGTCAAAGTTCTGACCATTCCTCTGGTGACCTGCAAACATGAGCAGGGAGCCCTGTGATCTCGCCCTTCATCTCCCCAACCAAGTTCTGCGATTTGCCAAGCGAGAAATAGTGAAAGCAGTGAACCTTGCTCCAGATGGATCGAAGACACGGCTGATTCTACTGCGCTAGCTGCCGCCTCAAACTCTACGCCGAAAAGGTTGTGGTACGGGATTTCATCAGAGGCCAGGAAGGAACCTCATCAAACTTTAACAGCTCAGCACTGTCACTTCCCCCTTCCCCGGATAAGACTGCGGCCTGTCTGAACGTGACGAAGAACAAGCGGGCTTCCTGCTTGCACCTCAAATGCATTTCCGCTGATCACGCCGATAAGGCTAGCAATGGACATATCTGACAGAGCACTGCTTCTCCGTCCATCTCAAATCGGGCTTGAGTATCTGGATAGAGGGCCTTGGCAGAGCGCATCACAGCAGGCGAACCTAGCTTCGAGCAAGCCACGGCTGCAAGGAAGCATGTTTCGCCAGGATGGTTCTGGCCTGCCAGAGCGTCTCCCCACTGGGCGCCGTCAGTGCTGTGACTTCCTGATGCCTGACAGGAAGCAACACAGTACTCAGCGCCACATACCATGTATCACAGGTAAAGCGACAGGCACCTTGAGAACTTGGCAGCCGCAAGTCCAGTGACCATCTCACTGTGCAGGTATGCATTTGTTTTGATCCTTTTCGAACGAGACGGAGGCTCTGACTGCTGGAGCACGCAGGGAAGGCTTGGCCGCGGACTCTGAGAAAGGACATAGCTTGATGCGCATGTTCTGGCCATAGTGCACTGTGTCATCCTCGAAACCTGACGGAAGATCGTATACATCCTTGTTGACACAAAATACAAGGGCCGGCTATGTATCTTGTGCTGGGGCCCAGGCCATCCTTTGGATCTGCCCGCTCGATGACGAAGACGTTGCGAACGCAGGGGCTGCCAACAGGACTGGAGGTGATCATGTAAGCCTCCGGGAATTTACAAAACATTGACGTTGCGTTATGTTGCACTCTGTTGCTTCTCTGCTTCTGAGACTTCCACTGCGGAGGACTTGGTGACAACATCATAGGGATTTGCACTCCTCAAACAAATTGCTACTACAACACGATGGTAACACTTCAGTCTGCCACCCCAGCTGAGGTGGCAGCAACACACCCTTGGACTGATGGTTCACCAGCATGACTTTCATGCCGAAGTGAAGGAAGCCGTCGGGCGAAGAGGACAGCTGTCGCGCAGAATCGCGTTGATGACACGTTTTACATCGAAAGTCCAACTAGGCAAATCTATGTTTATGCTGCGCTGCTACTAATAAGCATCGTGTCCAGTATCCCAATATGTGATTAAATCTAGTTATTCATCACGCCTCGTCTGCTTGCAGGGAAGACTCTAACTGTCTCTGCCTCAGCTGGAGCAGAACATGCCCTTCATGGAATTCTAAGCATCTGAACACCGTGGATCACCTTGGTGCAGCTCCAAGTTGCTTGGCAGTGACTATGAGGCTACCTGTTTCCTGAGTGCATGCCGGAAACGACCCCTCACCAGGCTAGAGCGTGGGCAGTCCTTCTTTTTCAAATAATCTTTCAATTTGATCTCCTCGAGTTCAAGGTCCTCAGCACTTGACCCCAAGGACGGTTGCGCTGGTGCCGAAATCTGAATCGAATGGCATGTGACTGCTTCCTTCGAGGTATAGACTTCCCATCACCACCAATATGGTATTGGGTATTCAATATGGTCCTCGCTCCAGTTCCCGATGCGCGTCTTGTGGTGGTACTTTGGACCACCAGTTAACTGCTGCGGAGTGAACATCATCTTGGCTTTGAAGCGGGTGAGATTGGGCAATCCGGGATCCGATGACGCCCAGCTTGAGCCTATCTGGACAGCGGAACTCAGGGGTATTTCTGCAAGCAGAAAGAAAACAGAACTTAAAAGCATCTGCAGCAGCAGCCCGCCATTTTTCAGATGCATGCATTCAAATTCCTTGGTCTAATGCGTTGGTCTCTATGACTACCTAAGAAAAAGTAGTCCTGTCCTATACAGATTCATCAAGATTCATCAAAAAGATCACAAGTGCAGCGCGTCACCTACAGGGCGCAAGAGCCTTTGCCACTCCCCCATGTGTACAAGTAGGAAATCAATCGGATACATGCGTGTTTTGCATGAACATGCAAGCCGCAAGAACAGCAGAAGGACCACAAATGGAAGCACGACGAGCAGAGCATAGCAGAGCAGTTGGTCTGGGGCACTGCCTCTGCAATAGCCGCTGACTCAATAGTTCTGCTGCCTTCTTGATGGCTGGCCTGCTTCAGGGCGGCATGAGAATCATCAAGCCAGCTTGAGAAGAGGACCACGAAAGCTAGAGGCAGCAGTGGAAGGCAGAGAAGGAGCCATGCAGTTACAGGGCTGGGGTCTTGAGCAACAGCTTTCGAATGAGATGCAACTGCAAGCCTTGCTTAGGGATCTTTGGGGGGCAGGGGGGAATCAATCTTTAAGGGGGCCACAGACCTTAAGAGTTTATTAAACACCGCAGATTGACTTGAAGCCACGTTTTCACCGACCAAGGGAATCTGTAAACAAGGACCAGTGCAAGCTCATGCAAGCTCCAAGGGAGCTAGAATTCGTGACAAGGAAAGCTTTCGACACGACTTCGCCTTGCGCCATCTTTCAAAGCTGCCGCTGCCCGTTTGGAAGCCTCGCCTGTCTTTGGCTTCGGCCTGTCGGTGATGAAGATCGGCTTACACACAAAACACGTGTCAGCCTGAAACACCCTCGACGCGTCTGCTAGCCTGATCTCAAAGCCATCCAAATCACTGGAGTCCAGGTCCTAGCGTGCGACAAATGGCTCCGGGCTCACTCAACGTTTGGGCCGGGTCCTGCACATCCATATCGCCCATGACCTCCTCTCCTTCAAAGGAGCCCTTCCATGAAAGCCTCACCTCTGCCGAAACATGCTTCTCTCAAGCAGGATGCGCTGCAAGAACTGGTCCCACCAGCTGGGGAGCGCACCGTAAACTCAAAGCCCAAACGCGGCCTGCTGCAAGGTTAGGTTTAGGCGCGGTCCTACACATATAGATGTTTGACAATGCCTCCCACGAATGTGGTACGCTGAGGAATCACCTGTGACGGTTACCTTCGTCGTCTGCACCTGGACACATTTGATAAAGGCACTTTCAGGACATCGCGTAGAACCGCCCAGCTTACAGATCTTAGAGCCTTGATTTTCTCATCTCGCTCAAGGAGGACAAAGTTCTCGTCCCCCAAAATCTCGACGGGTGCAACGGGTGCAAAGCAGGAAGCCAGGGAAGCCAGCCTCTAGGACGCTTGGAATCGCTTGCAGCTTGCAGGCCTTCTCCAGCTCTGCGCGCGCGGCTGTACTCATGTCCTTTAGGGGTCCATGGGCATGCACTGCATGCATTGCAAACTGCGTTGCTGACAGACAAGTGCACTGAAATGATCTGCACTGTCGGCCTTCTCCTCCCACGTTCCGGCAGAATTCCAACTGCAGCAGCAAGAAGCAATTAGAACACTGAAAACAATTCCTTGTGGAGAGCAACTTTGGAAAAAGTATGAAAAAGTAATGCATCAAAGCTACATTTCCTACGACAAACAAGGACAATCAAAGCAGGGCAGGTCCTCCCACCCCCTGTCGCGTTCCCTTCAAACGAAGAAAGCCGTCATTTGAAGAAAGTGTGTCTTGAGCTCTTCCAAAGTGTGCAGCAGCATTTAGGAATGTTTGCCGTAGTGGCTTTGCTACGTGCAAAATGACCAATGATTTTGCAGGGTGTTGTGATACGATTCGTCTTTCAGGATTTGCGGGCTGGCCTACCAAAGCGTGTTCAACTTTTCAGCGACCCTTGCGCGTGAGTTTTTCCCACGATCGCAAAGTATGCCTCCTGACCCAGATGCAAGATTCGGCTACCCACCACAAATACTCCTCTCTCGCAAAATACTTCTGCTCACGCTTGAACATCCTTTCCTTATCTGATTGCACAAAGCCAGGGGAGGAGAAAATCTGCGGAACACACTTGCGCCTCGGGACGGTGCCGAGATTCAGTGCATCACAGCTCGAGGATCAGATGACATTGACTTGATAGCTTTCCGAATTTCCAAGATTCTATATACTGCAAGGAAGCTTGGGGAGGGGAGCTTGTGCTCATGCTCGCAAAGACAGCAGGCATCCGAAGCAGAACCTTCATTGAAATTGACATTCACCAGCACCCCGCTCATACCGCTTGATTTTACAAACATGTGGTCAAAACAACAATGCTCCTCCAATAATCCTAGCCAGGCCGCCACGCTGAACCACCGCGTGAACCAACTACTTCTGTCCAAAGCCTCTTGCTATTTTTTGTTTTAACATGCTTTCACCTGAAAAAAATGTGTCCCTCACGGGGAAACAGCTCCAAAACATATCCTGCCTTGAGCTCACAGAGTCTGCCTTTGGCAGAACCTGGCAAAACAGCGAGGCGGGTGTCAGGCTCTGGAATTCAGATGAATAAGTGGAAAGACAAACAAGTCAACCCAACAAGATGATAATCCAGCATCTATCCTCGAATCAGCAGCAGAGGCACAAGTGCACTACAAGCCAAAAAAGCCATGACCAGTGAAGCAGACTTCACGCTACTCTTCTCAAAGACGTAGTTCACTGTATCACTTGTACATGACTTGTTGTTGGCCCTGACTCTCAGGAGCCAAACGCCTACATAACAAGCATCACCACGCTCTTCATGACCCTGCAAAACTTCGTGATTTGTACAATGCGTGTGGCAGATACACGTTGCTCGTCGCCGGGGGGAAGAGGAAGGGCGCTTGCGTGTGTGTACAGTTTTGTCTCGATGAAAAACCGAAACTCTTACAGTACAGGCAGCTGGAATGCAAGATCCAAAATCGCAGCCTTTTTCGCAATGTGTGCCATTTCAATACATCACATGGAAGTGCCAGCCCGACGAGGCTTCCATGATTTTGATTGTATCGGGAGACGTGTTGTGAATGTACCTGCAGGCAATACATGATAAATCGTCGTTAACGCTTTTCATTTTTGTACTCCCAAACCTTTCTACCAGCAACTTACATGCAGAGCTTGGATGTGAAGCAAAGTGTGCGGTTTAGACGTGCAAACTTACAACTGAAGATCAAGCGACGCATGCATTGGGGATGTGCAGTTGTCAATAACTTTGAGACCATCTCTTGCAGCAAGAACCAGGAATTCACAATTATTGATTTTTACAATTTTTTATGGTTTATTTACACTTTGGATTTATGGTTTTTTGATGGTTGTGATTTCTCTTGCATGTTTCATTTATGGATTTTTTATGGATTTTTTATGGTTTCTTTATAGTTTTATCGATTTTCCATGATTTTGAGAGATTCCGGAAATCCACGAAAATCATTGAAAAAACAATGAAAAACATCAAATTTTCGGTATTTTTCATAATTTTTCTCTAGGTTTTCTATGATTTTCAGATTCCAGA